CTAGTGTAGAAGGCTCCGAGCGCTGGGAGCCGGGCTCCGAGCGCTGGGAGCTAATCCCATCATGGAGGTGGATTACCAAGAGCGCTGGGAGAGCTCTCAAAGTGCTGCCGTGGGAGCGTTCCCGCGACAGCACTTTGAAGTTTCCAGTGTAGACATGCCCTAAGCTAGAGTACAGAGCTGCTGGAATGTACAAGCTTTCATTACATCGGCCTTACAACCAGTGGTTAAAATAAGAGTGGAGGAGAGAGCACAGCCCCCCACTTCTCTGCTAAAAGCTGCTCACAACATCCTTGTGATGGAGGTAAGGTAATGGGCTTTGTTGCAAGGATACAAGCCGTCAGGAACAGTATCCCCAATAATGTCATGGCAAACCTGGTGGCTGTTCTTTGTGACTTTGTCCTGACCCACAACTATTTCACATTTGGGGACAATGTATACCTTCAAGTCAGCGGCACTGCTATGTGTACCCGCATGGCCCCACAGTATGCCAACATTTTTATGGCTCACTTAGAACAACGCTTCCTCAGCTCTCATCCCCCAACGCCCCTACTCTACTTGTGCTGCATTGATGACATCTTCATCATCTGGACTCATGGAAAAGAAGCCCTTGAGGAATTCCACCATGATTTCAACAGTTTCCATCCCACCATCAACCTCAGCCTGGACCAGTCCACACAAGAGATCCATTTCCTGGACAGTACAGTGCTAAATAAGCGATGGTCACATAAACACCACCCAATATTGGAAACCTACTGACCGCTATACTTACCTACATGCCTCCAGCTTTCATCCAGACCACACCACATGATCCATTGTCTACAGCCAAGCTCTAAGATGCAACCGCATTTGCTCCAACCCCTCAGACAGAGACAAACACCTACAAGATCTCTATGAAGCGTTGGGATCTTGGAGAGACAGGCCAGTCCTTGCTTCAGTCTTTCTGGTCACTCGATTACAGACCTAAAAGTCGCAATACTACAACAACAAAACTTTAGAAACAGACTCCAACGAGAAACTGCTGAATTGGAATTAATTTGGAAACTGGACACCATTAAATTAGGCTTGAATAAAGACTGGGAGTGGATGGGTCATTACACAAAGTAAACCTATTTCCCTATGCTTATTTTCCCCCTACTGTTACTCACACCTTCTTGTCAACTGTTGGAAATGGGCCATCCTGGTTATCACTACAAAAGGTTTTTTTCTCCTGCTAATGATAGCTCACCTTAACTGATTACTCTTGTTATAGTTGGTATGGCAACACCCATTTTTTCATGTTCTCTGTGTATATATATCTCCCTACTGTATTTTCCACTGCATGCATCTGATGAAGTGGGTTTTAGCCCACGAAAGCTTATGCTTAAATAAATTTGTTAGTCTCTAAAGTGCCACAAGTACTCCTCGTTCTTCCAGCTTTTGAGAATCTCTTTGTCCAAAGGTTAGAGATTTAGGTCCTGCCTGTACCGTTTGGTGTTTGTGGGTCTGTTTTTCAGCCCAACAGTGCTAGGCACTGTACAAACATAAATGGTCCCAGTGTGCAAGCCTCATTTTGCAATGGTGCAGTATGTCTATATTAGATGTTTTCATCAGCATTATTATACTGCTCCGAAGTTTCCTAACTTTAGACAGGCCCTTTTGAAATGTGCCTTACAAGTCATTGTGCAATCTCAACCAGCAGATGTCTCCTTAATACACACTCTAGCTCAATTCACACACACAGCTTAACAGGGAAATGGACTTTCCATTAAAGCCATTCAAATTATATAGTCAGACATTCTGTAGACTATTTCCTGGCAGGCTCATGAAAACCCGTAATGCATATTCCACTTAGAAACAATCCTGCCGACAGACGATTTGTATCAAATGGTAGTTTACACATTTCATCCAGAAAGAACCCCAAACCGAATTACAAACACCATGTTCTGGAAGTGCCACACCCAGTGCTGAAATGCAGCCTCGTCTGGGGTGAGAATGGCAGATGTTTAACAGCATACAGCAACACTACACAACAGTATTTGCTCAAATGTTATTTATTTCTACTTTCTACTGCTTTCTTTCTACTTTGGCCATTTGACCTCAGCTCAAACTGTAATCCTCTGCTTGTTGTTTGTGACTTCACAATTGATTGCTATGGAAACCATTTTGATGTCATGGAGAATTATTAGTTCAGGTAGGGAGAAATAAACAAGAGCAAATAAATTCTTAAGAAACAAAGAGCCTGTTTAGATGCAAATGCCCATGTGTGGTAAAGGGGTGAGGGAACAGAAATGCAGCTAATCTATAAACAGACTATTTCCAGAGAGATTTGGCAGTTTCCCATAATGCAACAGCAGCTCTTTAATATTTAACTGGCTAGAATTTCACTTGTAAAAAATGCAAACAAACTGAAAGGTGAAGATTCAAATATCTAGTCAAATCTATCTATCCAACAAGCTTATCCATCAATAGTCACTGACCTGCTGGATGACTTTGGGCAAGAAAATCCCTTCCACTCTCTGCACCCCTACTTTCCCCTGAACCTGTTACCTGTCTTATCTATTTAGATGGTAAACTCTTCAATACAGAGACTATCTTTCACTGTGTTCACGTACTGCACCTAGCACAAGATCATGGGTGGAGCCTCTAGATGTTACAAATTGTAACAAAACAGATGAATTTGTAGGGAGAAAGGTGAAAAACCATAGTCAATAAGGGGAAATTCTAAATATGACCCATGGCTGTAGGCTGAGAACTTTGCAGGTCTGGCAAGGTAAGTAGGGGTCAGTTCTAGTCAGTGCGTGGATAAAGGAACACCTAGGTGGTGCTGGTTACTTAGAAGGTGATGCTCATCCCTGAGTCAGCACTGAAGCTAATGCCACAGCATGGTGATGGAGGGGAATGGAATGGGATGTCTTTTGGATGAGAAAGGAAATTGAAGTCCTCACCACCTATCTTCATTAAACACCTGGCGGTTCTCTTCATAAGAATAAGGGCATGAACCTATGTCCTAGAGCAAAAGGGGGTTCTGTCTCTATTCCCCAGTCTACTACCATCCACTTCAGTGCCTGCCCTATTTTGTGTTTCCCTTTCAGCCCCCACAGCATCCTCTCTCCCAATTTGCCTGTACCCCTTTCTGCCCCCACAGCCCAAGCCCTGCCTCCCCATGTCCTCTATAAGTTCTCATCACTAATTAACCCCCACCAGCTCCAAACCCCATTACCTCCTCATCCTGCTCCAACCCCTATTACCACCAGCTCCACCCCTTTACCCCCTCACTCTGCCCCCACCAGTCCCTGCCCCCTTACCCCCACCAGTCCCTGCCTCTTCACCCCCAGCTCCACCCCACTACCCTCTCACCCTGCCCCCTTACCCTCTCACCCCCACCGTCCCTACCCCCTTACCCCCACCAGTCCCTGCCCCCTTACTCCTAGCCCCACCCCACTACCCTCTCACCCTGCCCCCTTACCCTCTCACCCCCACCGTCCCTGCCCCTTACCCTCACCAGTCCCTGCCCCTTACCCAAGCCCCACCCCACTACCCTCTCACCCTGCCCCATAACCCCCAGCCCCACCCCCTCACCCTGCCTCCTTACCCCCACCAGCCCGTTACCCTTTCTCCCACAGCAGCGCCACCTATTACCCCCTCATTCCCGCCAGTCCCCGCCCCCATTACTCCCTCCCTCACTCACTAGCCCCCGCCTCCTGGGCACCGAGGCTGTTGCCCGCTGGGCGGGGCGAGGGGCAGCAGCAGACCGGCTCCCCGCGCCGGGCTGAGGGGAGGCGCGGGAAGTCTCATGCCCCAGACTGACGGCTGAGGTGACCCCGTCCCCTGCTGGCCCCTCCCACTCCTGAACGGTCTCTCCTCCCTCCAGTTGAAGCGCCAAAGCGCGCGCCAACTCCCGGCCCCACCCCTACCCCCACATGATTGGCCGCGGCCCGCCCCGCCTTCTATGTGAGCGACAGCCCTAGGGCCAACCAGCCGCCGCGGAACCCAGACCCCCTCCCTTCCTCGAGAAGAGGGCGCGGCCTGCATGTGACGTTAGGCGAGAGGGTAGCAACAGTTGCCTCGAGACCCCGCGCGAGGCGCCATAGTGACCGTAGTCCTGGAGACTGTTACTTGCCAACGGTAGCAACACGCAGCCCCGGCAGCCTGAGCCCAGCGCAGCCCGGGGAGTCCGGCGGGGAGGGCAGGTGAGAGGGCAGGGATGGGATGGGGTCCCTGAGGGGAGGTGCCCCCACCCCCTTTGGGGTGCCACAAGACTGGCCATGGGGCTGGAGTGAAACTGGTTTTGGGGGCAAAGGGCAGGAATGGCTTTCGGTTTGTGCGGGGTGGAGGGGCAGGAGTGACTCCGATTTGGGAGAGGGCGGAGGGGGCAGGAGTGGCTCTGGTTTGTGCTGCGGGGCTGGAGTGACTTCGGAGGTGGGCGGGGGGGGGGGGGGCTGGAAGGACTGGACTGAGGTAGACTAGTGTGAATCTAATTCGCGGGAGGGGGCAGGAGTGACTCCAGGTCGGGAGATGGAGGGGGCAGGAGTTGCTGGATTGGTGTAGACGAGTGTGACTCTAGTTCGTGGGAGGGGGCTGGAGTGACTGGTTAGTAGGAGAGGGCACTGAGGAGCCTATGGAGGGACAGGGAGGCTGGAGAGATTCTGGCTTATGTGGGTGGGGGCTGGACTGACTGATCTGGAGGGCTGGGGCTGGAGTGAATCTTGTTTGTGTGGCAGTGTGAGGGGACCTGGAGTTTATCTGATTTTTAGAGGAGGTGGGACTGGAGTTAGATCGGTTTGTGCCGTGGCTTTCTCCCTGGCTTTTGGCTGCATGTTATTTATTATTAATGTAACTTATTTTCCTGCTCCTCTTTGCAAACTTTTTCCTGTGGGCGTTGGGAGCTGCTGCTCAGAGATTTCTCTGCCCAGCCCCTGCCTGAGGTATTTTTGGTGGGGGAGGCTTATTATCAGATGATGTACGCACCACACTGGCCTTTTCTCTGTTTTGGAGAGAGCCTGCCACAACACCACTCTCCTCCCAACACTTTCTCCTGCCTTTTCCTTTTTAGTGAAATGTTGCCTTTAACCAATTGCATAGAGAAGGTGAATTAAGTGCTCTTACCCTTTCTCATAATACAAGATCAAGGGGACAGTCAGTGAAATGGAAAGGCAACAAATACGACATTGATTAAATGCTTTTTTTACCCAATGCATATGTAACCTGTGGAACTCACTACGGCAAGAGTTTAGCAATATTTTACAGAGGATTCGATAAGTAAGTAGATACTGAGAGCATCTGCTGTTTTCATTAGATAGGATGAGATTTTATAAAGTATCTCAACACTTGTGCTTCTGGGCATAAACAAACTTCCACTGATAGAGTTTAAGAAGAAACTTCCCCTGTGGGTAGATTATTCCTTAATTGTTCACTACAGAGTTTCTTGCACTTTCCTCTGAAGCATCCAGTTCTGGCCACTATGAAAGACAAGGATATTGGATAAAATGGAGCCACATTCCTCTGAAACATTTTTTCCCATTTTTTTTAAGGGTTTGGATTTTACATTTTTTCTAATTTTTCTTTCTTTATCTCATCTAATTTTAATCTCTTTCCTTTCTTTCCTATCACTCTTATTCTGTAACTTTTCCAGTAACCACCATCATGCAAAATGATTTAATAGGTTTCTTTTAAACTCTGTTGCCTTCTCTTTTAAAAAAAAAAGAAATACAAATCAGCCTTGGGACTCAAGTGTGGCATTGAGTTGTGTTTCTTTACCCTCTGGTTATCTTGGAGGTGGAAGAATTGATACAAATGTTAGGGAGTTCAAAACCTCTAATGATAAATTATTTCTTCCTATTTTTGTGCCCTGAATTTCATGTTCTGATGTTTTGTTTTGAACAAAAGTATTCCTGAAAGAACAATTAGTTGGTACATAGCACTGGCCAAAGTAACCCGTTCCTTCTTCTCCTTTTCACATTGTAAGTTTCTGGATGCATGGCATGAATGTAAATTAAAAAGAAGGAAAAATGGTAGCTGACTCAAGTAGCTTCTTTTTAAAAGAACTTGCATAAGCTTTGCTCCCTTTTTCCTCCTCCTCCTTTTCTCCTGGGTTTTTATATTAACTTCACATCTAGCAAAACTTGTTTGGTTTCCACCTGTCATTTATTTGATTCAATTCTCTGGAGCTAGCAAGTCTTACTCTCTGTTTTTCCTGCAGTTAGAGTAATATGTGAAAATCTTAATAGGAACTTTGTGAAGCAGGTGCAGGCTATTCTTCACTTGATTGCTCCTGTTTATTTTGAATAACACATGTTGTGATACACCAAATATCAGTGTAAGAGAAGATCCACCTCAAATGTGTCTATTTAAGACTGAGTTCCTGTAGACTGACTACATCATTCCATTCTTTAACTTAGATACTAAACATTCTACCTTTTTAATCTTCTTTTTTTTAAAGATGCAAAATCTTGTTTGTTTATAGTACTTGAGGTAGAACTGAGTGAATACCTGACAACAAATGATATAATTTATTTTTCTGCTCTTGGAATATCCACAAGCAGATTATTGACTTCTTCAAATACATTATTCAAGATTAACATGTTTTTGTTCAGTTTGTTTGAAAATTTATGAACTCTGATTGGACTAAGAATAGTTTCCTGTGAATATACAATAATTGCTACTCAAAATAACTTGATTAGTGGTGATTGGTTAGAAGGAAAGATAATCTTGTGCTTACAGCTTTGGATTTGGACTCCAAAGACCTTGCTCTAGTCCCTTAGGGTCAGGTTTTCAGTATCCTACAATTGGAACCAGACTTTCAAAAGTACCTAGCACACAGTAGCTCCCCCTGTGATACTTATGGCTACATTTGAAAACCTGGTGCTGAGGTCTTTTTGAAAATCTTGATATTGCCAGCACTGTTCAAAAGTTATGAGAGTAATTTAAAAAGAAACCAACATTTCTTGTTTAAAATGTGCCTTCTGTTTTTAGAGCCTCTAGACTTCATGTTTTCAAGGTCTACTCTGAAACCATGAGGGCTAGAAATGGACTCTTTTTAAAGGAAAGGTAAGAGTCTCATGTAATCACCTGGCTTCAGGAATTGGGGCTTTGAGAAAAACAACAAATGTAGTGATAGTTGGCAACACTGACATATTTCTTTGTGACTTGGTTCCCAGTCTGTAAAATGGGAGTGATACTGGTGCTGAGAGGATGAATGTTCATGAGATCTTCCAGTACTACAGAGGACTGAGGGAGGGGCATAGAAGATTGCATGGTATTGTTTCTGTTCTCTGAAAGTCTACACAAGCCCTTCTGGGTTGGCTATTTATATGCACAAATTTGAAATTCACTTTCTGTATAATCTAGGGTATGTGACTTGGAAATTTGTTTTCTGTGAGGTTTTGTGCCAGTTCTGTGTATCTCTTAAATCTCTGCTTTATCACAATTATATAGGACCAGACATGGGGAAGTTCTGAGCACCCACAACTTCCACTGAAATCAAAGGATGTTGTGGATATTTGGTATCTCTCAGGATCAGACCCTTAAATTGCAAATTTATAACATCAGTGCTAAAGGGAAATAAATCACAGTTGCTTATATTTAACCCAGACTGTTTCTTTTTATCTTCCAGTCATATGATTTCTAAGCCAAACTTGTTCAGGACTGATATGAGACTGTCTCATCTCAATAGTTAACAACTGTTCCTTTTCTTGCTGGTTCAAAATTAATAATTGTATAGAAAAACAAATTACTTTGGTAGTTTTTAAATAGCTTGATATTTGTAAAACTCCAGAAGACTGACACATCTTAGCTTTAATAGAGATCTGGTTTCTTTTTTTAAATACAGACTGAAAACATAGATGACCTAATTTATATTTTGCGCAATTCTCCAGATTTAGTACTGAAAATGTTCTCTGAATCCAAAAGTATCTTGTGGAGCACAAAGACATATAATGATGAAGGCATTGCTGATTCAATAGCTTATCTTAATGCTACACTCTTCAGCAAAAGTTTCTGCTGAAGACTGCTGAGATATATTTAAACCAGTTTCCCCCTCTCTGCTTTTCTAGAAACAAATGCCAGCACAGTTAAAGTCTGGACACATGCCAGCTGGAGCAAAGTGCTGTCCTGAGTAGCATGATAGGACTTGAAGTGGGGTGCTGAGCAGACAGTATAATTTCCTTGAGCATTGGTAACTGCAATCCTGTGATTTGAGATTATATTTCTGATATGTGAAACATATGGATTTTTCTTTTGTTCTGTCTGTGCTTTGAGACTAGGTATTTTGTCTTATTTGCACTGGCAATTCTTTATTCCTGTGTTCAAACACTCACAAATCCACCTTATTGTCTCAGAATGTACTGGCTTTCTTCAGTTAAACTGTCCCAGTGTCTGTGTAGCATGTGAACTAATTATGATGTGAATCCGTTCATGGACAACATAATATATCTTTTCAGGCTGAACCATGTACACGTTAATACATTTGGTAACTGGGAATCCTAATGTACAGAGAACCCACTTACAGAGAATTTGTGTTCATAATGAACAATGCAAGACATGAATTATTTCAGTGCACTGCACTGTGCGAATCGTATTTCCAGCTACAGGGAATCCTCAGCTTTGAATGAAGTTGTTCTATGAAAAACTTCTGTACTTTTGTCTCAGCTAGCTATTAAAGAACAAACAGAAAATACCAAAATTCTGTAGACGCCATTCAACTGTTTGTTTGTTTGTTTTTTTAAGTGTGTTGAGTTGCATTTAGACATATGATTTCATCTCTTCGATTAGTGAAGGAATTCTGTTACTTCCCCTTGTTTAAAGAATGTTCATATTTACTTATGACAGGGAGGTAGTCCTTTTTTTTTTCTGTATGAAGTTGAAGAGCAAGGGACACTTTTGAGGTGTGGTGATGAGAATAGAGGGAAACATTTCAGGAGATTTCTGTGCAATGTAAAAGTGGTAGGACTTCTGCCAACCATGACCTTAAATTTTTTTTTGATTTGTGTTCTGTTGATTTGGTGCTAGGTAGGGTTTGAAGATCTGTACCAATCATAATGGGATTAGATTCTTTTATTGTTCTTTAGAAGAAAGAAAGTTTATTCTCCCGAGCATATCATTATCTAACGTATATGCAGGAAGACTTCCCAGCATAGTTGACTTCCTACTATACTTGTGTTAATCTCTGCTAGAAATTTAGCCTTCTCAATAACTGGGCATTGCAGTTACACTTTCAAAGGGACCAGTATCACAAAACACTATGGTGAAGATGAGTGTGTGGAAGACATGTGCAAGAAGTGTAATGAATCATCTGTGGATACATACCCTATGTGGATATTTACAAAGTAACAGCAGACAAAGAAAACTGATGTTCGCACATTCATCTTGTTCTCTTTGGGCCATTTGTTCGAATAATTATTTAAATGAGGAATAGCTTTTGGGACTGGGGATAGACTCTATAGATGTGATAGTACGTGTGTCCTCACTGTCATCATGTACTATCAGTCATGATGAAGATGGACAGACTCTGCCAGATTCATCCCTGGTGTAACTCAGTGATGTTCTTGGAGTTACCCCAAGGGTGAATTGGGCTCACTTTTATTAACAAATACATGGGAGCTAACTTCCAAAATCTTGCCCTATGTGTGGGGAAATGCATGTAGATGGATCCTAGTCCAAAATTGAATGTAGTCATGATCTTTGTGTCAGAGTTGGTATGTTATCCATTCAACTTCAAAGAGTACAACTGATGAGACTGGTTTTTATTACCATCACAGCTACTTGCATGTTACAACTAAATCTTCTGATGGGCTTATTAGGTGGTCTTCTGATATTTAAAAAAAAACCTGGGAAGCTCTGATTTTTTTTAAGGGATGGCTGGTTCCTTTGAAAGGAATGTGTTTATTTTAGTATCTTTTGAAAATGGCTATTATGCTGAAAGGGGCTTTTTAGAGGCTATGATCATATTTTAGTGAATTTAGGCTGGAGCAACTGCACGCCTCTTAGCCACCCACCTGTATCCAGAATATCCAGAATGGCTAGTAAATCTAGAATCTTCAACCCTAAAGTGAGGATTAGTTACAGGAAAAGACATGGTCAGGATACAATATTGACCTTATGAAATGTTAAGTCTGCATACTGGAAACAACCTCCAGTGTAGTAAAGCATGTATATACCTACTGAATATATATGAATATGCTCTCTGTTGCTTCTGCCTTCATGGAAACGTTATTTTTCATTGTCTGTCTGATTCTTTGTCTGTATTTGTGTGGTTTATTTTG